GAGAAGGGCTACCAACAATCCCTTTTAATAGAGCTTGCAACATTAATGTAGCCGGAGCCACATGCGACACCCATTAGGGCCAGGGAGAGCTCCCACGCATATATTTCAAGGAAGCAGTTGATTCCCCGGTCCCAGAAGCTGTCTTCATTACAAAAGTCTAATATATCAGAAGAGAGAGAAAAGCTCGGCTTTTAGAATGCATTTTTTATTATTCAGCCTTCAGTGGAAATGTCACCTTTCTAAAGCAAGCTGTTATCATGTGTTTCCCATGCCAAACACATGGCCTCTAAGGAGAGGGTTTTATCTCTACATTTTTAGTGATTTGTATTTCTCTTTCAAGGAGCTCCATGCCTTAAGGCACCCGAAACGCTCACAGCACAAGAAGGTAAGGTTACATGAGATGCTGCCGAAGAGGACAAAAAAAACCCCAGGGCTGGGAGTCGGCACAGCTTCTGACGGCAGCCGCCCTACCCGATAATTCACCTCCCTTAGTAGATTTAATTATTATCCATTTCCTTGGTTGGGACCATATTCTCAAAGAAGCAGGGCGCCCATCAAACGACGCCGCCGCATGACAGGCTGTGGCGCAGCCAGCACCACTGCCCCGGCGCCTGCCAACCAGCCAGATGCTGCCACATATTGGCATCTGGGGCCTGGAAAAGCAACCGCGGTCTCCGTTTGGCGGCGGATCCTGACCCCGACAACTGAAGGAGACAAAAGGAGGATAGACAGGAGAGGGGGGCAGAAATCTCTCCTGACAATTTCACTGGTAAAGATTTAGACAAAAACCTATTGTTTAACCGCTCTCCAAATGAATAAGTTTCGGAGGAGGGAAAAAAAACCCCCACACCCGGCATGTTCTAAATGCTGTCAGAGTCCAGGGTGCAAGGACAAGGGATTATTTATGAAAAGAAATAATGAGGAAACCAGATGCCTGCCTTTCTCAGCCCTCTGCGCTCCAGTCACCCTAACGGGGCATGTGCAGCGCTGCTCGCCAAAGACTTCTCAGCCTTAAAGCGCAGGGCAGGCGCTAACTCACTCTTCCCAGCTCTGCCACTTAGCAAAAGGCCCTGCCTGTTTTACAGGGAGGCTCACGCAGACCATCGGGGGCACAGCAAAGGCTGAGGGAGAAGAGTTGCAGACCTCGCCCCAGCCAGGGGCAGTAACTACATAGCCATGATAACTGCACGCGCCAGAAGAGCAAATAAATTTTTAAAAAAGCAGCTTATTTCTCTAACACTGAGGCCGACCCCACACAGGTATGCTTAAAGCAGGAAAACAAATGAGCTATTTTCATGAAATTGGCTTCTCTCTGTAATTGAAGGGTAAGCTCCTGACCCCAGCAAAGTCAACGGGAAAGCTCCCGGTGATGTTAATGGGGCTGGGGCTTCACACTGCATGCTTACTTTAGCCTAGAAAAGTCGATTAGCTCAGGCCTCTCTGCAGAATCGCAGAGCACCTGCTGAGGTGCCTCCAAGGAGCCGGAGCAGCCAAAGTCCTTTTCATGGGAACTCACCTCTCGCTTTGCCTTGCTGGGTCTCAGCTTTGCTGGGCCTGGCAGGAAACCATGAGAGACCAGGGACTGGACACAGGGGACTTCTCTGAGGTCAAAACAAGCGTGAGACTGGAAAGGAAGGAGCCCAAGGGGGCAGAGCAGTGGGGAAGGATGGAAAATTAAAAAAAATTTAAAAAAAAAAATAATCTAGAGAAAGGATATATGCCACTTGGCTCATGGTCCACGCTGTTGAAGTAACTCTTCTCCATGCCTGGTTCATAAAGGAAGATTATGAGCTGGCAAATGTCAGACCACAGAGCACAAGCAAGACCTCAAGCGGAGCGGAGCTAGCCAGCACCATGCTCTAAATCATGGCACAGCACCGGCCCCTCTCCTGGAGGCTCCTTCCTCGTTATCCCACCACTGAGCGAGGTACCATAAAACTCTCGTTACTCGCACGCTGCTGGGGTAAGCAATTTCCTAACGCTTTTACAACCCCTGTGCTTTCATTTTGTGGGAGCAATCCTCTCTCTTTGTTTTCATCGGTACATGGGGATAACATCTGCATCTAATAATCCACTCCTGGGTACCAGCATTTTCGGGCAGACATTTCGGAACCAAAGGCACAGAAAGGGCAAGAAAATCTGTGACCAGGGCTGAAAGATGTAGCGCAGGACATGGCTGGAGACAGCTGGGCAAACCTGGAAAATACCCCAGGGGACAAATGGCTCATGTCATGGAAGGCAATGGAAGAAACCGGTAGAGGGGAGGTTGTACTGAGGCAAAACATCTCTGTCTCCAAGGCAAAGCAAAATGAGGCTAGCAAGGCTTTGCTGAGGAGAACCGCTGACCCCCCCAACATCTGCTCTTTCCCGGGCTGGCCCATCTTTATCCAGCTCCGCCAATTGGCTTGTCTAGCTAGCTTATTGCCCCCAGAAGGACTTTTCCCAAACTTGCCAACCTTGGGATCTCAGCAACAAAGCATCAAGGCGACTGCCCACAGCCTTCCCAAGAGGACGCCAATTCCCCGCTGCCCAGCATTGCACGCTCCCCCAGCCCTCCTGCCCGTCATGGTGCCACTGCAGCCCTCTGGCAGCAGCTCTAATCCCTCCTGATGGGTCCCTGGGCCAAGAAGATGGAGACAGAGCTGCCTTTGGAGAAGGACAGCCTCCGCTCTGCCAAGAGGCGGTGAGGTCCTGTTGGGGCAACACATTAAGCTGTCACCCGCTGCTGGGAGGCTGGAGCATCCTCTCTGCTGAGCCCTGATTAGCCTCCTCTGCCCGGCAGCCGGGACGCAGGAGATTTCACCGCACAGCACTGGCAGCAGGTGGGACCACTTCCACCACTTTACCACCCAGAAGTTGGGATTTTCTTGAGGACACCTCACCTTTGGGCCAGGGCTCCCCGGCTCTGATCCTGCAGATGGCTCAGCAGCAACCAGCCCTCCACCGGGCCCCGCAGCGCAGGAGAGGGCGAGCCCCCCCCACAGGCCCCATGCCCCTGCCACAGCTGCCAGCATCCATGCTGCTGTTCGGCCAAGCCCCTCGCTCCCCCATCTCGCCCCCACAGGCGTTCACAGGAGCAGGAGCTGCGCCCCAGACTCACAACCTTACCCAGGCGCTTGTCCCCCTGCAGCGCCGTGGTGCGTCACCCTCACGGGGCTCCAGCCCTGGAGGCGAGGTCATACGGAAAGTCCTTAGGCACACGGGGTGGCCAAAGCTCCAGGCCTGGTCTGATCCTCGCTACGCCCCAGCCTGCCATTTGCCTGTGGGTACACACTAAATGACGACCGTTATCACGCACGGTGCTGCGTACCACTGCGGAGCAAGAGCCAGCGGGGGGTCCGGCCCACCACGCCACACGGGAGCCTGCCAGGCAGAGGACGGCAGAAGGAACCAAGAGGCACCCGTCACACGGAGGTCCTCTCCAGCGGCACCTCCGAACGTACGCCGAGGACGCTGCGCAGTGAGGACAGGCGGTCCTGAGGGAACGAGCCACTGAGGCAAGGGGAGGGGCAGCACTGAACAGGCTCCTGCTGCTGCTGCGAGGCAAAGAAATCCTGTCCACGCAACTTCTCAGACACTGCAAAAAAGCTGCAGGGCTCTGATTTGAAAGCTACGGGCAGCTCAAAGACACAGAGAGCTGAGGGCTAGCTGCGAGAGGTGCTCTTCCTCCGCAGACGCTGCTGACTGGAGGAGGACTTTGGGGTGCTCAGCCACAGGCAGACGGGGCCACAGGCTGGCTCGCTGCCCACGTGCTGGGGCCTGGGCAAAGGCCCTCTCATGCAGAGCACGGGGCCGGGAACCAGAGAGCTCAGCTCACAGCAAAGCCCACGCAGAAAGCACAAACCCGAAGAAATCAACAAATGTGCTTTTTCATTTTATTGCTAAAATCCTTACCATAAATCTCACCAGAGAGGAAGTTTCTGTTTCTCCAGCTTCCTACTCAGTGTCCTTGAGAAGACAAATGACACCACACACACAAAAAAAAAAAAAAAAATCCCATAGTGGTTTACTTCGCACTTCCCTGTACCTTGTTATGCTGAGTGCTTCATTTAGAGAAGGTTGACCTCCCCAGCCTTCTTCATCCCAGTGCCCTTCGCTGCGGGGACACACCAAGGAACAGGTTTAGCACTGGAGAGAGGAGCCGGGTGGACGTTCTGGCGCAGGTAACCCTGCCGACTCAGCATCCCAAAGGTGCACGGAGAGTCAGCGCGACAGCAACTGCTGTCTGAGAGGCGATTTTCACAGGAGATACAGGAGCTGTGCTACAAGCACGAAAACTGTGAATACAGCCATTAAAAGCAAACAAAGTTATGCCCCCTCTAGTTCATGAGATGCAATTTCTTCAGTAGGTCTGGGCAGGGGGCCTGGCTCACCTCACAGCAATTCTACCCAGTGCAAGGCTTCAAACATTTTGTCTACCAGTTTTTCTTAGAAGGGCGCAAAAAACGTTAGAGTGGCTCACCAGGGTGCAATGAATTACCACTCTGAGATGTCCTAAGTGCGTTATCTGCCTTACCTGAACACCCACCGGAGAATAGGAAAATCTATAGGTTTATTTTACTGTGTTTTACATAGGCTCTCGCTAATTCCTGTGAACAAAATGGCACTGATTTGTTTTGCTATCAGCTGTTAGGTGTAACAGAAGGAAGGTGGAATGGACTTTGCACTACTTAACAGCCAGCAAAACAGAGATGCACACCACAGGGCTTCTTGTGAGGCACCAAAAAGAAGATATCTGGAACATTTGAAGTCATAAAAGCCAATGACAAAAAGCATTGATTAGGTAGGAAGGAATGTCTTCAAGAACTAAACATAAAGTTCACAAACTCAAGGTGTGAATTAGGCTTGAAAGGTTTTGTTTATTAAAGGAATACATGTAAACACCAATACAACATAATACATGTTGAAGAAAAAAAAAAAGCAGGAATTTTTGTGCAATTAACTCCAGACTGTGCTTCCTTTAGCAAAACCATTCTCTAAATCAGTGGTAAGGTTAGAAAAACTTGTAGCATCTCAAAGGTTCATTTCTGGCAAACCGTCTTGCCAAGTGCCCCATTCCCTCTAGTTTCTGTGATCTAGATTTCCTCACTTCTAACATACTTGAAAAAGGAAGTATTTCGTGTCATTAACTAAACCAAATGCTTTGCAGTGAGAGTGACTGGTCCTCTAGCTTTTGCTAGAAGAGCATTGTGCTGCTGCTGCTCACAGAAACCATCTTGTGCTCCTGTGCTACCTTATCCTGCCTTGACTTGCAATGGGCACAACCCAAGAGAGCATTTTAAAGTAACATGGAAAATACTTGTTTTTCAGAGTTATTGCCTGGCAAATGCAACGGGACAGATCAACACGGGCAACACCATTATCTGGTGGCTGGGCTAGAGAGCCCCAGGGATGGAGTCAGGTGGCCGAGGGAAGGGAGCCTTCCCTTGAGCAACGAGCCCTCTCCAAAGTCACAGCCAGGGCAGCACTGGAAGGAAGCTCTGGATCAGCTTGGTCTCTGCATTAGAGATTTCCGACCCGCTCGGTGCAGGAAGTTGTTCCTGTGGCTCACCTGAGGGAGTTCCTGTTATGTAGCCAGAGGGTGGTAGGTTGAAACACAGTTTCTGAGAGTGATGTAATCTTGGACAGCACTCTGTAGGCAGTGATACTAGTGACCTGGTTACAACCTGCGGTGTTGTTACAGCCCCTCTGCTGGCCTGGTGATCACAAGAAAGGGAAGAAAGAAAAAAAGAGGGGAGTGGAATAATTTAAAAAGGAAAAAAAAAGTTTCCAGATTTCCTTTGTTTAAGTGAAGCATTTTCCTTTTCCACTTTATTTGAATACACCGACCTGGTATCTAACAGATGGAGACTGTGCAGATGCACTTTTGGGAGTGCCCATAAAATACACTGCTAAAATACAAATGGAGGGATACTTTTTTTTTTTTTTGAGTTGTAAATTCAATAATCATTGCTGTCACCTCACTTTCCCAAAGGAATTTGCCCTTTGTTCTCCGGATAAAGCTGGGGAGAAGAAGAAAAAGGGGAAAAAAAAAAACGAAAAAAAAAAGAGTGAGAGCAAAGGGAACATTTAGGAAAAAACCCACAGATCCATAATCTGCATAAGCATCGCAGCGTACAGCATTTGTACGTCAGGAAGCCATACAAGCATGGCTGCTTAGCAGCAACAGCAGCGCACAGCAAAATATTCTGCATGTCTTATTCTTCTCCCATTCTCCAGACCTTTCTAACAAACAAACAGGTCAGCTAATTGGCTCACGCCCAAGTCTTACCCACTAGGGTTTGCTCAGAGATGTCACTTAGTCATTTGGCATGAGCAAATCCCAGACTTCTTCCTGTTCGAGCAGTGGAGTGGGTGAAGGTTTTCTTTGATTTATTAAGACTATTAACAAACAAACAGGAGAGTTCAGAAGCTTCCTCAAGCAGAAGAGCACGAGCAGAAAGGTTTTTTCCTGAAGTAGCAGCTAAAAATAGGATGCTTAAGAGGAAGTAAAGTTCATTAAGTGATAAAGTGGTGGCTGCAGTGATGAGAGAAGAGTTTTTCCTTTTTTAATCTATACACTTATCTAGCATTATGTTTTCTTGCTCCTTATTAGAGTGCTAAAGCAGTGTTTATCTGGCTGAGGAAAAGATTTCCCTTTCTGTAGTGACTTTAACATGTAGCTCATCAAATACAACGGAGTCAAGAGTTTCAGACAGACACTGCCAACCAACAAAGTACAACATTTGACAGCATTATTTGCCTTTTATATGCTCTTTCCACAGTGGGAAGTGATATGCCATTTTCAAGACACATTCCACAGTATTATGCAACAGCTTTCTTAATTTTTAATGGATATATTATTTTTAACGTGTCAACTTTTGCATAAAGCATTTTAGTATTTTATTCAGCATATACCATTAATAAATTATTTGCTCCTTCCTTCCCACCACCCCCCCCAAAGCTGCACTTAGCATAGGGAAATGGTCTAGTGACACTCTAAAAGATACTTTCAGCTGGCACCATCTATAGACACTTCCATCAGCAGACAAAGCACCAGGAGCACATTCTGGTTTCTAGTCGACAAGCTGGCAGTGCTAAACATGCTGCCCAGGAGTTTTGCCACAAACCATACTTTGGTGAAGAGACTTACACGTGCGTAGCAACCAGTTGCCATAAAAATAAGCTAGCACCCTGTACAACCAGTGATTCCTGTTAAAAGTGTTCAATTTTGGCCTGATCGCTCCAGCGTCCTTTAGTCATCATGTCCAAATGGTTTGGGACATCCAAAGGAAACAAGTCAGGGTGCGTCCGTGCCAGAGAAACTTGTCCACTTGACCTGAGTTTGTTCAGAGGGCATGCATCTCTCATCTCAGCAGATCTGCCCATTCTATAAGGGCAAAAAATGGATGAGATTTGATGTCTTCAACACCAGCAACGCCAGCACCAAGACGCTCCGCAGGATTAAACTGCAAAAGCTTGATATAAAAAGAAAAATATATATATGATTCAGTGAGTAAGAACAAAAACAACTGCTTAAAAGTTTCAGAAAGGTCTAAGGTAAGGGACATCCTACCGTTTTCCTGCTCTGTGAATTACTTTCAAGAGCACGAAAGCATACTTGAAATTCCTAAAATCCAGTAAATGGAAGAAGACTCTCCTTTCCTTGAGTCTCAGTGTTACAGTCTTCAGAGACTACTGATCACAGCATGCAATTCCCTGAAGCACTGCACACTGGGACTTCATTTTGAGTGTAACCTCATTTAAAAAAAAAAAAAAAAAAAAGAAAAAAAAAAGAGCAGCAGCCAGAGCCTCCATCAGTAGAACTCTGGACACTGCATCTGCTTCACGTTAACCTTTGCTCACACCACTGCATTACAGCTACATCAGGGACAGTGGTCTGTAACTTTCCATTTCATAAATTGTAAGTTGGTCCTAAAATATTGGGATATTACAGCCAGTTCTCTATTTCCTAAAAAAAAAAAAGTTTGAGAGTCCTATAAATGGACTAAAACTGAAAAATCAAAACTCCATTGAAAGAAACAAAACAGTGTAAGGGCTTCATGGAAATTTCCTAAAATTCAGCACCTCGTTTGCTTTTTAGTTGTACATCACATGCTGAAATCATGTGAAAAGGAAATCACAATAGCTACATCTGTTTAAAGATACCAATCCATATAAAAGGGAACGCAAAGGTAATACTCCAGAGAGGCTAATAAAGACACACAAAAATATTTTGCAGTTTTAGAGAACTGCTTATACTCTATTCAGTCACAGCCAGTACAAAGGCATGATTTCTTGCTTGCTTTTTCTGCAACAGCTAATAGGATAACTTCTCCCAGTTGTCACTTGGAACAATGTGTATTCAAATCTTAATGCACTCAACATCTAAGTGAGTCTACATCCATAAACATCGGAATTTACACATTTTAAGTTGGCTCTGCTATTTGCAGTCATAATGTCACATAGTAAAGGTAGCTCAGTGACAGTGAATAGTGCTGCTCCAATATCTTCCGCAAGCCAGCAGAAAGGGATGCAGCCAGGATCTCTCTGACTTCTGCTGAAATACAACCAGCACCAGCAGGGGGAAAGTAAGCACAGGCACTTATTTTCTGGAGTTTGCCCTTCCAGAAGAACTGTAATCTCAGAAAGCAGATGCAACACAAACTGCAGTAGATGCCTATTGAAAAGTCATGTTGCATATTTTGTTGGTAGTAAAGCCTGGAGGTGCCTGAAAAAAATACCAGGTGCATAATACCAAACCAACATAAAAATAACAAATTCATCTTTCACCAGAAATAAACAGATCCCTGTTTTCTTAGAAGCTGGCTAAATGAATGAGGTGTTTACAATGAAGTCACCTGCGCTGGAAGCCACAGCAGGAGACAACGTCTGACACAGTTTTCTATATAGCTGAACATTGATCCCGGAGAGTTATTCTGTGATGCTTTGACCTGTTTACCCTTGGCAGTGGGGGGAAGGAAAGTCGCAATGACAAATTGCTATCCATGCCAAGAGAGCTTTCTTCCTTTTCCTGACAAGGCTTCCTCAACAATGAATGGCAGCTTCCTTGGATAGTCACACAACAAAAATGTGATTTACTAGCTTATATAGCGAACCTCCACCAGATAAGTCACCACCCTACACCAGAAGGCTTAACCTAAGAGGCACTGGGGTGACTGTTCTCTGAACAGATATGGCCTTGTAATATATCTGCGAGTGGCAAAGATATATTTGCCACTTAAACCACAAGTGGCAAGAGAGCCACTCTTGGGCAGATTTAAAAACAGGCAATACACTAGTCTGCAGTGAAGAACACTGGCAGGGAGAAGCGGACTGGACGACTTCATTTGTCTTCACTTCTAGTCTTAATGGGAGGAGTTCCTGTGGCTTTGCTTTCCCTTAGCCATCTGAGTCCTGTAGCACCTGTGGGCGAGGGTAACAATTTGCTACCATCCAACAATACAAACGCAGATTACACAAAAATAGGATTTTTCTTTAGTCACTTCCCTTTCTACCTTTGCCAGAAACACAAACACACATGCTTTCACCTTCAGTGACTTCATGTCACCTAGTCAAAATATGAGTTCCAAATGTCTAGTTCCATTTCCATTAATCGTTTCACAGCAATGGCACAGAAATCAATCTGTCACTGGGTCTTTTGATTCACTGAATTTTCAAAATCTTTCTTTCATTTTCTTCAAGAACTAGTTTTTCCACTCTGCTCTGTTCAAATCTACATCTAAGTGATGTCATTATTTATGCATCCACTAGCAAGATACTCTTCAAAAGCTGAACAACACAGTTCACATACATCACTTATTCTACTCAAGTGGAATAGGTCAGATCCAGGCTCCACTTCCTCAGCTAGGTCAAAACTGACTAGAAGGAAAACAGCATTACCTGAAATTTAAGTCCCTGTACTACAAGTTTATTCTCTCAGCCATGACCACCTTAAGCTAAGAGTAAACTAAAACCAGCACTCAATACTACTCCTCTTAGTTTCAAAATAGTGTATCAGTCTGGAAGGTTGTCTATACTTTAAGCTTTCCTACTCTACCTTTTGTCCAACCTACCAGTTATCTTCTCATTACAGAAGTCATTGTATTTGCAATTTAAAGCACTTGTCTTAACAAATGGCATCCAGGTTTCCCGGAGGACAGCCACAGATTTTTCAACCACAGCAAGGTCATAGCTTCTAATCAGTGTGTTACAGGTTTCATAATACTTAGAGCTATCTTGCTGAATTGGTATCAACATTTTTTAGTTCAATTAGTTACAAATGTTTCCATGAACATTTAGGGCAGAATTCCTAAAATGTTTGTGTATCACCAGCAGGTGTTTCCAAAGCATTCAGCATTGACCAAACTTGTTCTTTGAAGAAATGGCAAAGCACTCCAGTTTTCTACAGACACCTGGCAGCAGAAGTCAGTTTCCAGATGCAACAAGACAGCTGGGCAAAATTCATCAGTGCTGACAAAAGACCCATCCACATTCTTATCAGCAGCTTTCTGGTTTTACATTTACTTCACCAGAACAACTTGGGAAGATTTTGTCCAGTCTACACGTGTACCAATAGAAAACAAATTTTCCCCTCAATTACCTGCTGAATCAGTGATCTGGCCTCCTTTGATACATGGTCTGGTATACTCAAAGAAGTGTGAGTGTTTATTCCTGATGGATGGCACTCAACCAGAGTCTGGAGAAGAAAAAAAAAATAAAAATAAAAACAGGCAGATACATTTATTAATTAAAAAATTGTAGCGTTGGATTATTTCCTAGTATAAATGCAAATTAACACACACAGCTAAAATTTCAGTGCTTCCTAGTATGAAGTACTGATTCTTGGAGGGATGTCTACAGGCACTGATGTCCCTCTGGAGATACAGTTTTTGAACATTTACATCTTGGTGCTAGTGCTCTATTGCTCAAACTTGAAGAGTCTGGGAATTTGGTGGACCTAGCTTTCTTTGTGCAGAACTGTCAACTAATCACCAGTTTAACTTGGCTGAGCACTCTTTGTCTCAAAATACTCAATTAATGTGTAAGAGTAACATATGGCTTCTACACCGTCCCAGGAAATAATACTGAAACCATCAGGGCAAAAATTTTGTAAATGCACAGAAGGAATGTTAGAGAACTTTGATTTCACTGTGGTTAAGAGGGCAGCATGGGTTTTGGTTATTTTTTCAGTCTTGAGTTTGATACTGCTTTATCAAGTTGTTCTGCTGAAGCCTGAGCATGTTTCTTTTCTCTGGTCCCATGCAGACCAAGCAAATTGAGGGTACTTGGGTCGGCAAAGCATATCTGAGAAAGACAAGCAAGGAAATCACAACTGGGCACACCACTTGTAAGAAACTACTGGCCAAGAGGTCAGTTTTATCGAGTAACTTGCCCCCAAGCCCTACCTTCCCAGTGAGGAGTTCAAAAAGAATGGCACCCAGGCTCCACCAGTCACAGGCTTCTGTCTCTTCTAGGATAGCACCAACCTCTAAACATGAGACATTTCAATTAATATTAAAAAGGTCAGTTACACCTTCAAAATTAACATATATTCACAAGGTGACTGTTTAATGCTGACAGAACATATACTAAATACCACAGAGCTTTCATTATGCCTGCAATTTAGTTAGCCCTTTAGGCACCTACAGATTGCATTGTTCAAACACAGCAACACTACACATTTCATCCATAATTTGCCTTTTCTGCGCACGCACAGGCATTTTCAAGACTTGTAGGCATTACAAGTTAGGATTCTTCCATACTGGGGCAAAACCTGACAGTGACAGACAGTAAAGCAAAACATATTTAGAGAATTTACCCTGGTCAGAAGAGCTGGACTGACCAGAGTGGCCTGAAGCACCCATAAAAGCAGCACAAGGGAGGTTATAATAGTCTACTGCATGCCTTAATTTTGTCTTGGGGGCCAGGATACGTCTCATGGCTAACCCACACTCTTTGCCAGAATCACCGTGGAAGGCTTTTCACAACAGCCTCTCGTGTCTGTTGGGAACCAGATGGAGATGCTGAATCTATCTCACATAGCCTAACCACAGCCAGCAACTGTGTATTGCTACAGTTCAGCCCAAATTGTACCTAGGTGCAAAAAGTTTTTTTCCCCAGCATCCAGCCAGCACCCAACACTCTCTCATTGCTGTCCATGCACAAGAGACAGTGGCGAGGTGAGATGGGAGTCACAGAGCCCCTTGCCACACACATACTCAATAGCATGATGCATGCAGAAAACTTAGCCTTCACTGACGCAGGCTTTAAACTACAAAAATTATTAAACACAAACACACCACGCTGTCTGCTCCAAAACAGGCAGAAAAACAGATTGCAATGAAGATGAAATCTTCATTTCGACTGTCAAAAAAATGCAGAAGCTGCACTAAAATAGCTTTGGTGGCAAAAGCCACACCAGCTTTCCAGCAGAGGACAATAATTAGCATATAGTCACATAGTGGTTGCTGTGAAAAGCATCGTGGCGTGTTCAAAAAATCCTGCTCATCATTTTATGGAGCTTAGCATGAGCATGGCCAAGGAGAACGACAGATGAGTCACACTCCAGGGTCAGGGAAAGGAAGGCGGTAGCCCCAGACCTCCCCAGACACAGAGATACACACACAGGCTGAGCACAGGGATGCACAGAGGGCTGCCCCCTCGAAGAGCTGCCACACAAGCTGGAAGATGCTCAGCACCTCACAGGACCAGGCTGAGGTTGCGGTGGCAAGAGCAGCAAGGAAGGATGTCTCAGACATCGTTTCTTTAGGCAGGACATCCCTCTCACTGAAAAGCTGATTACAGTTAATGGCGTTTGAATGCCCAATATGTCACTATAAGGGTGCCACACATTAGAATTTATTCCATTCCTTACAGATTAATACTTCTATCAATATCGAGAAACTTTTACAAAGATATAACGGCAGCCACACGAGGAACTGTATCAGCATGATTACAGGCATTTTTAAAAAGTTTTAACATCCCAGGCAAGCGTCCAGGTTGAAATTATGGTAAACTGGGAGAATTTGTGTAAAAATCAAAATGTGTTCTTTCAATACAATTTTATGTCCCTTCAGAAAGGCAGACCTTCTAGGTAACTGTCTTTTAAAAAAGAAAAAACAAAAAAACAAACTTGGGCCTTTCCACATGAACCAGCTGGCAAAAGGCTTTCACAGCATCATTCAGTGAAACCTACTGAATGGAAATGCCTTTCCAGTTTGACTGATTGCCTAGTGCTGTATGTTCCAATAAGGTATATTAAAAAACAAGATAACATGAATGGAAAGTAAAATCTAAAAATAAATACTTTAGGCTTCTTTAGAGCAGAGTTTTGTTTCCCACGTGGCTTTAATCCTGTGGACATTCCAGACTGAGAGAGCTTTCTCCCAAACATGCAAAGATTTTATTTTTAAATTAAATTCCACACCTAATCCGGAATAAGGACAGTAAAGCCAAGAGTTAATTAAGACTGACTACTACATTCTCAGCTCCTATACTACCATTAACTTCCCCATATTGACACATCTTAAATTTTAGAATAATGCCACAAAAGGAGATAATCCATTCTTCCCCAAAGACATTCAGTGGGGATGGACCTCTTGAGTTACAGCCCAATATAAAAAAAATATTCAAAAGGTGAAAAAAAAATAGTTCTGAGCACAGGGAAAAGAAATATTACAAAAAATTCATTTCTGAGTTTTGGTATTATTTCCTTTTATGTTGGCAATCAGAGATGCTGATCCAGTTCTCTGAAGCATCAAAGTTACACTGCTTTCTTTCACAGAATCACACACCGTTGATTACGGGAAGTTGATGTAACCTCACTCACTCTGCTGATGAAGAAAATGGAAAGAGTAAAAGTCAAAAAGTAACTCAAGTCCACTTCTCAAAAATCCAAGCTCATATTTTCAATTGTAAGAACACCTTCAATATATGCTGAGTCAAAACAAATGTCATTGCAGATCTCTTAAGAGAGCAGTACTGAACTCTTCCATGCACTTTTGACCATGACAAAAATGGCACAAGTGGGATAAACTGAGAACAGTCAAGCAACACAGATTTCTCCCTAGGCTGAAGGGCTCTGGCTGGGTTCTCACGCACAGAGCAGAAACTGCCTGACAAGTCATCTGAACCAACACAGAATAGAAAATGGAAAACTCAGCTGAGGGGAACACCTGAGTATCCTTTTTTACAAAAACTAAATTTTAGCTCAACTTTTCTCCTATTACCCAATGTCTCCTTTCCTGCTGCTTTCCTGGGTCCCAAAGTTTCCTTACTTCATATTAAAATAAGTATTTTCCTTACAAAAACAAATAATCATTGTGAATATTACAAATAAACATGTGTTGTTTACATTCCCTTACTTCAAACAGGTCACATTACTTCTGATGCAATACGCTGGTCATAATAAGTTCAGAATATCACATCAATATTACTGCACTTTATCTTGACTGCGCATCACGGGAAAATTTAGAAACTATAGATTATGAAGTGCTTTCAAGTGATACAGAGTAGCTAGCTAATGTAATATACAACACAGGGCATATGCTTTTTTTAAAGCTTTAATATTGCAATAAATCTGAACTTCAATATCTGCCTTCACTAAGAAAACATTTTCATCTCAATCCATCAGCAAAGTAATTTAGACAGTAAATGGTAGCGACCCACAAGCTTAAGTGAATAACATGGGGATATTTGTGCCCATTCTTTACTTCATGAACCTTGAAATCAAGGACCTTATCCACATTTGTACAAACATAAACGTGTGCACACACGTGCAATGTTGGTGTCTCTCGGACTAGCAGTACAAAATTTGCAGAAAAAAAAATCCTATTCTCAGATACAAAATCCTTTTAAATCAGAGAAATAAAAAGTAGGGTGGAAAATAGTATCAGCAGCTCTTCCAGTTTTACTACAACTTCATTAAAAGGGAGAGCTTTCTTCTTTCTCCCTTCCCAATGCATGCCCATAGGACATCTAGCACAAGTAGCACACGTCAACAGCAATGCTAAATTCCTGCACAGAAGCAATTTCAACAGCAGACGCTGGGAGTAACTGAAAGGAAGGAGATTTGTAAAATGGTATCAGGTTTGGATAGGGACAGATGGTACAAGTAAACACCTTCACTACCCAGCACCGTGCTCCTTCCAGAGCAGCTGGTCTCAACTGAAAGGCCATTTCTTTACGGTTTCCATACTTATCTCAATATTTGCATTACACACAGTAATACCTTATTTCCTGATACAAGACCCATAGCCGACAATGCTCTGTATGTTTAAACAGAAGTGCCAGTTCTAAAGTAAAAAAGCAGAACTTCACCTCTCTCAAACACACATCCTTGATAAAGTTATTAACCGTAGCACCAAGGCTGATTTTCTTATTTTTTCTACAGCACCTTAACCTGAAAAATACCCTTTGTGCTGAAGAATTTCAAAGGCTTTTACTACCACACCTCAACACTTTCTCCCACATACAGTTTCCTCCAGGGCTGACATTAAGGCCCTTTGACCAGCACACACAAACACTAGTTAACGTAAAAGAAGCCAGGCTTAAAGGTGGACATTCACTGTGCAACTCAGGCCAGATGGCTTGCAAATCACCAAGCACAAAATCTCAATCAAAAACCTTGTAGGATAAACTGTAACATCCAAAAATTGCAGCTGAAGTCAGTTCACAAGAAAATAGTCTCAAGGTACTGCTTCTCCAAACACCTAGGAGCCAGGAAGGGCTTTGCATTGAGGTGGTTTGCCTGGAATTAAGAAGGGCACCACTTGACCCTTGGTGCACTGATAAGAATTTCAAAACCTGAGGAGGCCCCTTCCCTTACCCCATGTTTCAAGCAGAAACAGCATACCTTCATAATATCATTTCTGCACTGAGAAGAAAACAAGGAGACCCATCTGAACTACCATCAGGTGTCTGAAACCATTCAGGAGGAAATGGACTTGTCCAACATCCTAAAAACATCAGACACAATGTTTTCCCCTTCTGTGGCCATTAAGATAAACAGTTTTGCACGAAAAACCATTAGAGTCGCTTCGGAAATTCTATTTACCTTGCACTCATTTAATTTTAAAAGCTTACTATTTTATCATATTTTAATATCCATATATGTAAAGAAGCACTTGCAGAGAACCAAGTAAAATGAGTCCAAGCTAATTTACTCTAGGCAGACTCAGTCAGCCAAGATATCGTAAGATACAGTCACTAAATAACACATCACACAAGCAATCTGGCCATAATGCTTTGCCTAAAATGCTTTAGCAATTTATAAAACACAGTATTGAACCATCTATAGTTAAATATAAAAAGTTTAGCATGGTCTTTAAACAATAAAGTAGTGAGGCAAGTCCAATGAACATCTGCTAAGATCAAATGGAGTATGAAAATAGGAAGTTTCATCTTAAAGCTATTCAAAAAACATATGAGCATCTATGTTCCTCTTTGGAAGAAATTTCTTCATGTCACGAAAAGAAAAAAAATTAAGAA